AAGCGCCTTCTTCCAAGCTGAATAGGACCCCCCCTGTGGAGGAGGGGAGGGGACCTGGGTGAGCAGGCAGCCGTTCCCCAGGGCAGGGCCCCCGTGGCCCTCACCCTGCCCGGCTCTGCTCTTCCTAGGCATCGGGAGGGGGGCCCCATCTTTGCCAAAGAGAGGCTCGGGGAGGGAGAAGGAAGGGGCTTTACCAACAGGGGCCCCAAAGGCAGCTGAGACGCCGGCGGCAGCTCCGGCCGAGACAAAATCCCGCTTTTCCGTATCCCTCCGGAAATACTCAAAGATCTGCAGGCGACAAAAGGAGGAGTCTGTGTGCAGGCAGGACAGGCCTGGCCTCTCCTGCCCAATGAAACTCCCAGGTGCCACCCCCAGGCTGGCTTCTTCGGCCCAGATCCCACCCTGATCTCACGGGAGGGAGGGGGGCTACTGACCCTGAAGTCCCTCTTCAAGGAAGTGGAGCGCCCTTGAGAAACGCCAGCTGCGATGACCGCCCCCGAGTGGATCATCGGCCCTTCCTGGAACGCAGAGCGCAGAGGGGCCAGAGAGGCTTTGGGACAAGTGGGGGTGGGCCCTGGGCGGGGGAAGGGTCTCTCCAGTTGGGAACGGCCATCCTCGCTTGCTCCTCCGCCCGGCCTCCATCCCGCTCCCTTCCCTTGTGGGGCTGCTTGGCCTGAAGGCAGGACCCCGTCCACCCAGTGCCACAGCTAGGCCAGGGCTGTTGGGGGCGGGGGGGGGGGGCGGGAAGGCCGTTTCCCCGAACCCCCCTGCACCAAAACGGGGGGGGGGGGCCCCCCCCCCCCCCCGCCTCTTTACCTTCCCCACTGCCAGGCCTCCAACCACGGAGAGGATCACGCCACAGACTTTAACCACCAGGGTCTGCCAGGGGAGCACATAGGAGGCCCTGGGTCAGGGGGCTGCCAGACTCCGCCATAACCTCCCAGGCCCCCAAAGGCCCTTGCCAGAAGCATTTCTGCACCCCAAAAGGGAAGCTCCTCCCTGACTTGCTGCTGCCTGGCAGCTGAAGCCCCCAAGTCAGGAGCCACACGACAACCCCCGCCCTCAAAGGAGAGCCGGCCTGTATGGCCCGTGTGAAGAAGAACCACAACGCAACACCACCCCAGGCGCCTGACCTTCAGCCGGACCACGTGGGGGATCTTGACTCCATTCAGGTAGCACTTGATCTGGGGGATTCCACTGCCGGCGGCCACGGGCTGCAGAGGAGGCAAAGCGCTGGGTCACGGCAGCCCAACAGCCATCACAGAGGGAGGCCGCGCCCAAGCCTCGCCCAGCCTCACCTCCAGAAACGCCACAATGAGGGAACCGGCCATCACGAAGGCTGCGTTCACAGTGGCCCAGAGGAGCAGAGAGAAGGAGAGGCGTCCAGACTCGGTGAATTTGTCAATATCTGGGCAAAAATAAGCTGAAAGGAAAAAACACCCGTTTCCTAGTTTGGCAGCCACGTTTACAGGCCTGGGGGAGGATGCCGATGCCAAGCAGAGCCGAATTGCCCCGCAGCACCCCTTGGGGGGGGGGCGACCTCCCCCCCCCCCCGCCCCCTCAAGGATACTGCCCTTCACCAGCTTGTACTTGACCCCTGCTAAGGTCTCCACCATGATGTCAATGAAGCAGGCAACCAGGCCGGTCAGAATGCCGATCATGGCACAGATGAACCAGCGCTGAATTTCCACTGTTCGGAAGGCCTGTATAGCGGGAGAGGGGGGGTGATCAGACCCCATTCCCCCCCCCCACTTTTCTCAGGCTTTGATGTTTGCTGCACTGTGGCCCAGAAGGCAGCATGGCAACTGGCAAAGCCAGGTTCTGGACCTGACCCGCAAGCCCTTAATGTGGACTCCCTCCTTGTTCTATGCGGGTGGGCTCCCCACCCTCTGCACCCTCCCTCATTCCTGGCAGAGCTGATGAAAACCAGCCTTCAAAGCTACCTTTGGCTGCCAGATGCCCCTTTCCAGGCTCGGCCCCAGGAACAGCTGAGAACAACATTGGGAAGCCAGGGAGCATCGCCCCCCCCCCGGCCCAAAGGGAGGGTGGGAGCACCCCAGAGCTGCGGCTGCAGCAGGGAGAGGGCCTGCTGGTTTCCCTTGAGGCTCCTCGGCTGCACCAGATCCAAGAAAAGCGTCCAAGGGTTTGCCCCAGAGGAGAGAGGCCCAAGGGCACCAGCTGGGGTGCCCAGGAGAGGGGCACTCACCGTGTGGTTAATTCTCTTCTCCTCTTCCAAGAAGAGCTGGTTCTCACAGTTGTCATAGTCCAAGCTCTGCAGGGGGGCAAAAGATGGAGAACCCCTTCAGGGGAAGCGGCCCCCCCAGCCCAGCTGCAAAGTGCCAGCTTTGCCTCCGGCTCACTGGAAGAAGGGCCCGCTTTCCACACTGACCCCAGCCCCGCACGGGGCCCTTCCCGGGAAGAACAGGGACACTCACTTCGTACTTGAGGGAGAGAAGCTTGTTGTTGTGCGGAATCTCACTGGGGAGGCACCGAGGGGCCTCCGTTTCCTACAAGGAACCAGAATTCCATCAAGACCCCTGGATTTAGCCCCATTCCGCTGCCCCCACCCCTCCCACCAGGCGGCTTGCTCACCGTGCTCTCATGGTCCCCAAGATCCACGTTGCTCAGGCGCCCAAATCGCGAGGAAGATGAGGAAGGGCTCGGCTGCAGAGGCAAAACACACCCGCCTCGTTTGAGCTGCCCAGCTCCCTTTGGGGCAGGAAGGATCTGGGGCAAACACGCTTTATCCCTGGGAAGCCCAACAGCTCTGCAGGCAGCGGGGCTGTTTTAGCAACAATTATTAAGTTTCCCTTTTCAGCCCTGAGCTTGTGAGGCAATGAAAAGCCTCATTCTGCTGCCCTGGGGCCGGAGGGCAGAGGGGGAAACAGAAGAGGAAGGAAGAGCAGAAAAGTCACGGGAAAGTCACAGGATTCACAAAGCCAACACAGGCCTGTCGTCCAATCAGGCAGGACTTGGGGGCATCGGGATCGGGTTCCTGGGGAGCCTCTGTGTCACTCTCTGGGGAGGGGCTGCTTTGGCTGTGACTGAAGGATGCAAGAGAGGCAGATTGAAATGTGTTGAGTTTAGAGCAATACTGTAGGCCATGGAGAGACCGTTTCCTGTACACTGTTGTGTGTTGGTAGGGTCAACAGAAACTGCCCACAGATTGCCACAAAGCTGATGGGCAAAGGGCTGTCTGTGTGAGCCCCTCCAGAAACAAGGCCTCGCCCAAGAGAGCGGCACAAAGGGAACGGCCGGGATCCGATGCGCCGTCCGGCTGGGCCAGGCAACGGGCCTGGGAGGGCTTCCAGGAGCGCCCACAGGGAGGGTCCCAGGCCGTCGCCCCCACAGCCTGCTCAGCGCCGCTTTCTCACGCCGTCAACTTCCAGCCGCACCGGCGCTTCCCCTCGCCTGGAGCCCAGAGGCCCAAGAGCGCCGGGCCACCCGCTTTGGATGCCGGGGCTTGGAGGTCGGCTGTCTCTTTAACAAGGGAGCCCGTGGGACAGGCCTTCTGCACATGCTCAGGAACCTTGGGAAACGCGCCGGAAGGCGCGGGTCGCCAGCCGCCCGCCCAGCGGTAGGCTTCTCCCGGCCACGGGGGCTCCGCCAGCCTCACCTGTCCGCCCGTGCCGTTCAGCAGCGGCGTAGTCTCGCCCCGGCCCTCGGCCTCGCCCTCCCGGCCGGACCACGACACCCGGGTCGCCACGTTCGCCATCGCCGCTCCGCAGGCCGGCCGACTGGAGAGCGAGGCAGGCAGCGGCGATCATGTGACCTGCCGCAGCTGGCGAGGCACGTGATGCGCCCGCCCCGGAGCATCACGGGGGATGGAGTCCCGGCGGCCCCGGGGCCGGTTCCATCACGCCGAGGGACCTGCAGCCGCTTGCGAGCCAGCGCCCGGCCGGGCCGCCCCTCCGGCGGCTCGCAGCTGGGGAGGCACCGTCCCTGCAGGGGGAGGGGAGCGTGTCCGCGGTTCAGGCGCTGCTTGCTCACGGCCACGCCGCACCGGCCTTTCCCGGGCACGGGGCTGGGCTGGGGGCCCGGGGGAGCCGCCTCTCCTTTCCTTTCCCCACGGGAGGCTACCGGAGCTTTTGCCAGGGAGAGGAGGGGACTACCCGGGTTCCCTCGGGCGGGCCCGCCCGCCCGGTGCCGCCCTGAGCGAGCGGACGGGGAGCACTGCGATGCCTCTTTCGCGGCGGTGGGTTTTGCCGGGGGAACGAGCTGGGGCGTTGCGGGGAATGAACCTTTTGGAAGGACCCGATGGACGGAGGGCCCAGGAGCACCTGGAGGAGACGCTCTTTCCGGGCTGGCTCTCCTCCTGCGGGCTCGCCAGCTGCAGACCCCTCCGACGAGCTAAGGCTGCTGGCAGGGCTGGTCCCGGGTTTCCAGCATTCAATCTTAAACTCCACCCCAATTTTTCACTTATCTGAGGGAAAGAGTGGCACGGCCAAGGTCTTGAATAAATATTTATTGTTTCAAATCAAAACCATGAAATTGATCTATTTTCTCCAATGCGTTACACAAGCTAAGCAAGGCAGGGAGCCAGAACTGGCTTTGGAAGTGTAAAAAGGAATCCTCATCTTGGGGGAAACTAATGTACTTTACCAACAAAGCCCACCATCATCTTTTTTTTAAAAAGAATTTTATCATGAAAATGGCACGTGAGAATTTTTTTTTTTTTGGTCAACCCTCCCTCAGGCCAGAAGGAAGAATCTGGAACACCAGGCAGAGTAATGATGAGCAGGTCCCTTCCCTTGCACAAATATCCTGGAAATCGGCAGCACCAATCCTGTTTTGGGGCTAAGCACATTCTTCTAAGGGAGGACTGGAGCAGCTTTGGGGTTGTCCCCAGCCCCTTCGGCAGGGTCCCTTCTCTGGAAAAAAAATCCAGCCAAGCTCATTCCGCGGGGGGGGAGGGGGGAGGAGGCAGGGATGGCGAGCAGCCTCCAGGGCTTCCACGGGGTGTGTGTGTGTGTGTGTGTGTGTGTGTGTGTGTGTGTGTGTCACAGGCAGTGCTCAAGGCAGGTGCAGTTCACCTTCCGCACAGAACCACTGAGCATGGAGACATTGGCCAAGGTGAGCACCGTTCCGTGGGGCAGGCCTTCTCCAAGGGCGATGCTGGAGACCTCCCCCGGCAGCAACGCTCGGCCCCACATGGCAAAGCCTGCCAGGAGCCCCACAAATGATTCAGATGAGTCAAACCCCCCGCCAAGAGTGTCTTGCTCCTGGCCAAGGAGGAGCGACCCTTGGGGCGGAATCTCGTAGCCCTTCCGAAAGTTGGAGCCCAGGGAGGCCAGCCTTCGGTCCAGGTAGAACCAGTAGCGCCCCTGGATGGAGGACCAGATGATGCAGGCGTGGTGCCACCTGCCGTCCAAGACGGCCCCCACCGGCAGCTCCCGAAAAGCGGGGTCTCCAATCACGAAATGGAGGGAGTTGCGGGGGGCAGCGTCCCTGCCGTGGAGCACCAGCTTGTTGTCGTTCTCCTCCGTGGCATAAGACAGGATGGTGCCCAGGTAACGGGCACTGGTCCTCACCCAGCTGCAGAGACTCAGCTCCAGCAAGCTAGTCTGCAGGCCGGGCTGGAAGGCTGCGAAGTTCTCGGTGGAGGCGTTGGGGAAGACCAGCATGGAGTCCACGTTGCACCCTGCAGGGAAGAGAGAGCGGTGGGGCAGCGGCCAGGAAAGACCCAGGGGCTCGTGTGGGCAGCCGGGTGCCTCGTGCCTGAACTATGGAGGCTGGAAATAACTGGGCGAGTCTGGGAAGCAGCCCAAACCAAAAGTGTCGAGGGGCTCACAGCCAGTTGCAGCACTGGCCCACCCCAGCTTGGGGCTCCAGTTTGGAATTTTACATCGAGGTTGGTGATAGTTACACTGAAGATTTCTAGTCTAAAGCGTGCAGGTCACTCGGGGTCCGGACAGTGTTGAGAGACAGTACAGCAGATAAAACACAGAAGCCAAGTACAAAGCATCTCCCAAGTTCAACCCAGGTGGAAGCAAGCAAGGGCAGCAGCTTCCAAAGTCTCTCTAAAAGGAAAGCCCAGCCCCACCTGCGGAACCAGCCTGCCTCCCGAGGCAGGGAGCTGAAGGGGGGCCTTCAGCCAGACGAGCCTCCAGCACATTTTAAGGCCTTGGAGCTTAAGGAGCCTGGCAGCATTCATGCATCAGCACCCCCTCCCTCTCTACCTACTTGTCCCTGGCTTCCGAGGCCCTCCTGGAGGCTTCTGCTCTGCAGGGACTTTGGCCGGTCCAGGAGGCTGTTCTGTGAGGGTCTGCTGCTCAGGTGAAGAGGCCGGGCCTGGATCCACCTGCAGGGGAGAAGCCGCCTGGCCCAGAAGGGAGCCCCTCTGCAGCGCTGCTGGGCTCTCGGCCGGGACCTCCAGGTGGCCCCCCGGCTGGCGATGCTTGGCACGCAGCTTCTTCAAGGTGGGGCTCTGCCCTCCAGCCGCCTCCGATGCTGCTGCGCTCCGAGGACTGGGCAGCTCCTCCTTCTGCTTAAGGCTCTTCAGCTTCCGCTCGATGCTGCCCAGCTTGCTTCCCTGGCTGCGGAGGGCATCCTGCAGGCTCTGCAGTATCTTCTGCAGGCTCTGCTGGTGGGCAGCCACGTCCCGGAAGTCCTCCCGGTGGCTCTCAAGCTCCTGGGTGAGGTTGGACAAGCGGCTCTCCAGCTGCTTTTGCCGCGTCTCTTGCCAGGCCCCTTCCAGCGCTCGGATCCTCACCGCTTGCTTCTTGCTGTTCCTCTCCAGCTTCTTCACCCAAGTCTGCAAGCGATGCAGCTCCTCCTGGGTGGAAGCCTGGGACCCATTGGCCACCAGCTGCAGGCTCTCCTGCTTCTGTAGCAACCTGTCCATCTTGGTGTGGAGGCTGTGAGAAAGATTGTAGTTCTCTGCCGTCTCCTGAAGGCGCGTCAGGGTGACCTCCTGAAACTGTCGGAACTGGGAAAGAGGATGCGGTCAGGCCCCTCAAAGCCAAGGGCAGAGGGCCAGGAGAGCAGCATCGGGAAAGGGGTGGGGGCAAGACAAGCGGGACCCTCTCTTTCCCTGGGAAGGACATGGGCATGGCGGGTTACGAAGCACCAGGAGCCTTTCGGGGCCCTTCATGCGGTGTTCCTGGCATCCCTGCGACCAACGCCCAGGACCAAAGGCCCCTTTTCCTGCCTGGCTTGGCAGCCTCACCCTAGGGCACCCCAGAGCATTAGAAACACGCACTTCTGAATGCGTCCAGAGGTGGGACTAAGACTATGGCTTCAAGTGCTGCTCAAGATGCCCTCTGGGAGCAAAGCAAAACAGGGTCCCAAAACAGGAACAAAACGGGGGCGGGGGGGGCATTTCCCTCCCAATAAGTGCCAATGGTGTTGAACTTATATAGAAAGTGTTCGTGAAGTGTTTAGATGTTTCACTGCATAAGGACACCAGCCAGCGGCAGATTTTTGGACCAAAATACAGGATTATATTTTTCCACCAGCTTCCTTGGAGGTACTGAGTAATCTCAACTATATTTAGGAAGTGATATTTTTACAATAACAAGTACAATTATTTATAGCGCTAACTGTAAATGGTTGACAAGTGTAACTATTAAAAATCGGTGTGCTTATTTTGCTATTTTGGGTGACAAGTATTTCACTGTTTTACAGTTTTGAGATGTCCTGAGCTTGTTTTCTTGTCTTCTGAAATGCTCAGGCTATTTGTGGCAATCTGTATTAATTTATCCACTCTGGCTACTCTCCCTCAGCCAGCTCTTCTAAATGTGGATCACTATTCCTCTTGCCCCAGCTCTCATGGGGAGTGGACACTCTGGCTGTGCTTGATGGGAGTTGCAGTACAAGACTCTAGAGGCCCAGGCTAGCAAGAAAGCCCAGGAAAGGCTTTCACAAAATAACTTTATCTTTAAATCCATTGAAAATGCAGAAATATATTTTACTGGGCCATTATCTGCAACTATCTGTGGCTAATCTTAGTGTAAAATGGCCTCTGGCAAAACCTGAAAGGCTGAAATATCACAACACCAGCTGTTGCCACTAACTTTTGCACTGAAACATGACCTGAGGAGCTGGGTGGGTTGGAGCAGGGAAGGAGGGAGCCACCATGGGGTGTGGGCTTTTGAGCATCCCCTAGCCCTCCCAGGCTGCAGAGGCCAAAGAACCCAAGGGAACAAGGATTGGCAACCTGCCCCCCCCCACACACACACACATTATTGCCTGTTGGGACCTGTAAAATCCAGACCTTTTCTGAGCTGCGTCTGCTTCTTTTATTTTTCCTGAAACGGCTCCATCACTTTATTCTTGTCATCTCCAGGCTGCCTTTTCCCCTCTGCCCCCCCCCCCCCCCTTCCATCTGGAACCACCCCCCCCCCCCCCGCCCCCCATGTTGGGGCTCAAGAACAGAAGCAGCCTCCTAAAGGGACTCGGTGGGCTTGAGTGGCTTATTTGTTGCAAGTTAAAGAAAGGAGAGCTTGGATAGCAGAGTAACTACCACATTGATCCAACGCGGATCAAAGCTGGCAGCCGAGTTCAACAGTGCCTCCTTTTATTCTGGCCCGATTTTACGGGCCTTTTGTGCAGGTGATCTACTTGAAAGCGTCTCCTGGAAAAGGAGCTTCGCCGAGAGAGCAGGGAGCCCCGGGGTGAGCCGCTGCCTTGTTTCAGGAGATCAAAGCGAAGTCTAAGGAAGGAGAAGGACCGGGAGACCAGCCCTGCAGACCGGGCACCGCATCCGCCCCCTGGGCTGCGGGAAAGGAGATGAGGCTGCCCGGCCCGTCCGCATTTTGGGGCCAGAAGCGGAGTAAAGGCGGGGGGCTTCCCCGTGGACTCTCGCCGGGGCAGGAAAAAGGATCTCGTTGCCCGCCGCCCCTGCCCTCACCAGCGCCCGCTCCGAGCCCGGACAGGGACGGGAAGGAGGGAGCGGGGCGGCTCACCTGGGCTTCCAGGCGCCGGAGCCTCTCGAAGAGGGGCCGCCTCGGCTCGGCCGCCCCCGGAGACTGCTGCAGGGCGCCCCGCAGACAGGCGGCCGCCAGGACCAGGGCTACGGGCACCACGCTCGCCGCCGCCGGCATCCCGAAGCCGCGGCGCATCCCGGAGAGACGAGCCTGCGCTGCCTGGCTGGCTGGCTGGCTGGCTGGCAGGAGCGCCTGACTGCGCCCGGAATAGACCAGCCCCGTCGGGAGCCCGGAGCCCGCTTTAGCTCCGCCGCGGGAGGGAGGGAGGCGCCAGCCCAGCCCAGGACCAGGGCGGGAGGCCACGCGGTGCTGCGCCGCGCCGAGCCCGGTTGGGGGCGGCCAGGACAGGCCGAACGAGTCAGTTCGGAGGGGGCGGGGCACACCCCAACACAGGAGCCACCCAAGAAAGATCCCCGGGGCCGCAGGAGGCAGCTGTCCGCAGAGAGACCCGGCCCGGGAAAGCGGCGGAAAAACTCCTTTCCTTGCAGCCGGGCCGGGGTCAGCCGCGGCCCTTCGGAGCCCGGACTACCTCGCAGGGCTGTTGGCAGCTCTTCCTCCCGCCCCGCCCCCCTGCACCGCTGCTCAGGAATGAGTGGCAGGGGGCGCTGTGGCGGGTCGGCGTTCGGCAGTGCGCCCCCTCTCGCGCAGGCGCATTCCCGGTCCAGGCGTGAGACGGCGCGGATGGCACGCATGCGCGGCCGGAAGTGGCTGTCAGAGGGGCTCCGCGCGCCTCCCCCCACGGTGAGTGAGCGGCGCTGCGCCCCTCCCCCACCCCGGCTCGCATCCCCAGGTAGACTGCCCCCGCCTCCGGAGGCTCCCTCCGGCGCCCGCCCGCCCCCCCCGCGCATCCCGGGGCGCCTCCCAGAGGTCTTGCGGAGGGGCTCCCCCGCCCTGCCAGGTGGAGGATCTGCTGCCCCGAGGCTGACCGGGCGGGGCGGTCTGAGTGGCCGGGAGGAAGGGGCTGCAGGTGTGGGGAGAGGTAGACTGCCTCTGAAGCGGGAGGCTCGACGGGCCCGTGACTCCTTCGGTGAATAGCGAGGCGGTTGCCCTCCGGGTTTGAAGGGTTACAATGCTCCAGCATGAACAAAACGGAGCTTTCGCTCCGCCTCGAGGACAGACCAGGGCAGCCCTTTGTGCCTTCCCTCCTCAAAGGCTGCCGAAGCGGCCACCCGAATATTCCCTCCCGTTCCAGGCGGGCCTGGGAGGGGAGAGCGGCGCTCCGAAAGGCACACGCGGTCTGGAGCTCCGCTTTCATTCCGCTTTCTAGGAGAAAGGTCCGTTTGGCTGCTCTCAACGGCGGCTGAGGACAAATAGCTGACTGCCGAGCGAGAGGAGCTCCTTTCAGAGGCCGATTTACGCGGAAGTAGGAACAAAGGTGCCAGGTGTGTTCTTGACCACAGGTAAGGCACAGGAAGTTTGCACTTCCCTAAGAAAATTGCCACGTGTTTATTCATTTTCAGAACTGGGGATTTATTACAGAGCAACCCCACCTTTCCTTTACATGCTCGGGGTGTTAGCAATGTCCTCACTTTTTATCCTATTGTTTTATTTCAAATCAAACCACCTTTTGGACCCATTTAAAAATCCAGATGTGTATACGACACAGTACTACGGGGACATTGTTCATGTGCTATAAGGCTTAAGTTGCATTAATTAATAGTTGGCCATTTCTACCCAGATGGAAGGCGAAACTGGTAATAGTCAGCATGTAAAATGAATCTCAATTGGCACAAATAATGGTCCTTATGAAGGGTTTATATCTAGAAGGCATTTCAGGAGCTGCTAAGATTTTCTCCCGGAGATTCCCCTGTGGAAACTAAGGGGCCTCTTTTGCCCTCTTCCAGTTGCCCTCAGGGCTGGAGAATGTGAGGCCGTCCGTCTCTGGCAGCCACGGGGAAAGGACATGGAGGAGGCGAGTCTTCCGTGGCCAGCAGAGAGGCTGGACGCTCCAGGGATCAGCCGGCGGATCTCGGTCAGCGAGTTCTCTTGCCACTGCTGCTACGACATCCTCATCAACCCCACCACCTTGAACTGCGGGCACAGCTTCTGTCGGCACTGCCTGGCATTGTGGTGGATGTCTTCCAAGAGAAACGAATGTCCAGAGTGCCGGGAGAAGTGGGAAGGGTTCCCAAAGGTCAACATCCTCCTCAGGTGACCGTTGCCCTGCCGGCTTCACCCTTCCCAGTTGCCGGCCTAGACCCAAGCGGTGGTCCCAAGGCATCCAGAGGCCGGCAGGCCCGAGGCTTGAAGGTGGGGCTTGCGTCTCTGCTCTGGCCAGGAGCCTCAGGGCCTCCCCAGCTGCACCTTTGGGCACGTCAGGAGGGAGGGACTGAACGCCGTCCTTTGGCCTAGTTGCCTCTGCTCCTCTTAGCCGGGTGCGGCCTTGGCAAGGAGCCGGCCTGACGTCGCATTGCTCCCTCCCAGGGCAGACGGGTCTTCCTTCCCCAACCCTCTGCAAGGATGGCTGGCAGGACCAGCAAGGGATTCCTGCCGGAGGGTTTGGGCAGGCCTGACGTGCTTCTCGCTGCAATAGAGAAGAGGCTGTTCCGGAAATGGACGAGCTGGCTCACCTGGAGGGGCCGCACGGCCACCAGTCGGCTCAAGCCCTTTCTCCCCTCCCAGGAATGCCGTGGAGACGCTGTTCCCAGCCGCCATCGAGCAGCGCAAAGACAACATTCTGCAAAACCACGAGGTGACACAAAGCCTGGCTGCTTTTCAGAAGTATGGGAGCAACCAGCCCACGGCAGCCCCCAGTGCCGGGAGGGTGAACCCACCTGGAGGTGGCTTTTTCTCCGGTGTCCTGACTGCATTGACCTGTGTGGCGGTACGGCTCCCCGAGGACGTTTTTCACAAGCACTGACACACCTGGGGGGGGGGTTGGCTTTACAGGGCCCCGTTTGAGCAGTGGCGCTGGGCAGGTTCCACCAGGGAGGCTGAGCTTCTGGTGGGGCTTTCTTACCACCTGCTTGGAAATGGCGGGAGCGGGGGCTTGGCTGCCTGCCACTTTCTCTTTGGCACTCGCGGAGGGGACTGCGGCTGGCTGGCCTCTCAGGTGACCTTGTCCCAGAGAACTGGCCACACGTGGCTTATTCCCCAGGCACAGGTGACCAGCCTTTGAACATGATGCTTATTGTGGTCGCTTTAAGCACCCCCAGCCCAGCCTCCCGTGCTCTCGGTTGGTCTCTTAGGTGGTTTTGCTGGGCTATCATTGGAGCAGCCGGGAGTCAGAGGACGGCCTGCTGGTCCGCAAGCCTGTGGCCAAATGGACCGCCGAGGAGGTGGCCCACTGGCTTGGGCAGCTGGGGCCTTGGACGTCCCTCTACAGGGAGAGGTTCCTGCAGGAGAGGGTGAATGGAAGGTGAGCCAGCGTGAGAGGGCGGGAGGATTCGAGCACAAAACCTGCCCTGTCATTCCCAGGGGATGTGCCAACGGGGAGCAAGGCTTGTGGCCTGCGTGGGAGTCGGAGGCGCCTGGCTGCTGCCCGGCCAGGCAGCTTCGCTTTGCTCGGGGGCTTCTTAAGGCAGCTTCCTGATGGGAGACGTGGGGGCTTGGCAGTGCTGGCGCCGAAAGCGGCTGCCCCAGCCTGACTGGTTCGTCTTGCAGGCTGCTTCTGACGCTGACCGACGAAGACCTCCGGCAGGCGCCTTACCAGGTGGAGAACGGCAGCCACCGAAAGGCCATCACTGTGGAACTCGAGCGGGTGAAGCTGCTGGGGGTGAAGCCGCCCCAAAACCTCTGGGAGTACAAAGTGAGTGGGTGCTGCGGGGGCTCAGGCGGGGCTCTTCCCTAGCAAGCCCCCTGGTGGCTGGGAGAGGCTGGCGGGGGCGGAGCCAAGCCCTTCCGCCACAGAGGTCCCTTGCCTTGCAGGCGGTCCAGCCCGGGCGCTCGCTGTTCCTGCTCTACGCCTTGAAGAGCTCCCCTCGGCTGGCCATGCTGTACTTGTACCTGTCAGATTACAGCGACACCTTCCTGCCCTTCATCCACACCGTCTGCCCCGTCTCGGAGGCCCAGGAGCTTGAAGACAGGATCGCAAAGCTGCACGTAGGTCTGGAGTGCCGGGCAGTTTGGCCTTCGATGTGGGCAGCCCTGGTGCCCTGGCACTGCCGACGCCCTCCCCAGGGGTCGCAGCCAGGCAGCTGGTGCTCATCTTCTGTCTCCGCAGGACCTCAAGGACCCCGTGTGGAAGCAGTGGCGGGAGTTCCTGGTGAAGTTTGCTTTCCTGCCCTATCAGCTGCTGGCCGAGTTCGCTTGGGACTGGCTGGAGACCCACTACTGGACCTCCCGCTTCATCATTGTGAACGCCATGCTGCTGTCCGTGCTGGAGCTGCTCTCCTTCTGGAGGCTCTGGTCAAGGCGGGAGCTGAAGTGAGTCCCCGGCCTGCACTGCAGGGACCCGGGATGTCGTTTGGGTGAACCTGAAGGCCGCCAAGCGCAGGCATTGACCCTCTTCTCCCTCTCCCCCTCCTCCTTTTTCAGGAGAATTCCCTACCGGATGTGGAGCCACTTCTGGAAAATGTCGACCCAGGGGTTCCTGATGGCCATTTTCTGGCCAGTTATCCCCCAGTTTGCCTGTAATTGCCTCTTTTACTGGGCTTTGTACTTCAACCCAATCATTAACATCGACCTTGTGGTGAAGGAAGTCCGCCGCCTGGAAACTCAAGTCCTATGAGGTGGAGGAGGGCCCCATCTGGATGCCGAGGGATCAGGGCCGCCTGCGTGCGCCTCTGAATTCAGCCGGTGCTTCGTCCCCGGGTAGCCGGACGGTCTCGTTTTGCGGCTCTTTGCGTCCCCCACTTTCTTTTCAGGAGCAAAAGGCACATTTTCCTCGGAGCAGAGAAGATGTAATCTTGGCATAATCCAAAATCTGGCTTTGAGCCAACTGAAGCCGAGGTTGTTGCAATCTCTTTGGAAAAGGGCCCCTTGTGTGTAAGTAGGTGGTTTCTCTGTGTGTCTAAATTCCCTCTGTGTTGCTTTGTGTTAAATCTCTAGTGAACCTTTATGTTAAATGTGATGTCTCTATACATGAAATTTGACTCTGCATTTGTATTAAGACGACCTTTAAATTTGCATAGAACATTTTTACAAATTAAATAATGTTTTCTAAAAACAGTGATGGTTCTTTTTTTGCCCAGTGTTCCCTTTCTTGTCTGGATTGTGAGGCAGGCGGGGCTGAATAGCGGCAGGTGTCATGGCTGCCTGGTGCCCGTCCATGGCCAGGCTGTGATGACGGGAGTTGAACTTTGGGGTGTTCCTGCAACCGGTTCTCCGCTACGGCACCCTGGTGCTCCCGCTTTCTGTCCAGGGATGGAATGTGGGGGTGGCCAGGAGGGCCCCTCCCGACTTTCGTGGATTGTAAAGGAGGCGAGGAGAGATTTGGACTTTCAGACCTGCAAGAATCTGTTAATGCAGCTTCACAGTCAAGTAGAAATAGCCCCCCAGGCCGCGTTTCCTCCCCAGTCCACTCGCATGGCTGGCGCCCCTCCTAGAAGTCCTAAGATTTCCCTCCCATCTCCTTTACAACCCCAAAGCTGGGGAGGGGCTCTTTTAGCCCTCTTGCTACTCCCACTTTCCGGCTGAGGGCTAGGTTGCCTTTTTTCTGACGGTCCCTAGCTGCCTTTCTTTGCCCAGCCTCGTTCCCACATGCCATGGCTCATTGGAGCAAAGGGAGTCGGGTGACATCCTTGAAGTGAGACCCCAGAGCTGCCCGCAGACCCTCGCGGTGCCGAGTCCCTGCAGCAGGACGAGGCTGGGCCGTCCGAGGGGAAGTGGCAGCTGAGGTCCCGGATGGAAAGGCGGACAGGCAGGGAAGCCATGCGAAGGCGGCCTCAGTCGTCTGCGCACGTGGGGCCCTTCTCTGCACACCGGCTGTCTGGCCAGAACAAAAGCGTCACGTTGTAGGGGGCTTTTGCCAGGCACTTGGCTGCGTCGCGGTCACACTCACAAGCCATCTTTTGGCACTTGTCTCCAATGTCGTCTGCAAAAGGAAAAGAGATCAACAAGCAGTGAAGCCGACTTTTGGAGTTGCCCCCTGACGCTTTGAAAGGCAGCCTTCCGAGCAGGTGGGCTGTGGTGCCTGGATGGGGGGAGGCTCTTCCGGCCTGTCCTCCTGCCGGGGCCTCTTGTCTCAGGGGGAACTCACCACACTTGGCTTTGCTGTCCTGGCACTCCCAGGGGTACCCCCGCATCTTGGGGGCACAGTTCTCCTCCTCCGCTTTTCCATAGCAACAGTCATGCTTGAAGCAGCACCTGGCAGAACCAGAGGAGTCCCACTGAGCCAAGGTGAGCCCCCTCACCCGCCCCCGCCCCTCTCAGCCTGCTGACCAGGAAGGGAGGCTGTGTTTACTCAGGTGGGTGGGTCCTTTTTACATCTCTAAGGTAGGCAGATTGTGTGTGGCAAAAACTTTTGGAGGATGATTACTGCGCCTTCCTCATCTCACCTCCTCTTGCCTGAAATGGCTTCTGTAAAGAAAACCTGGGGGAGGGGCCTGTTTCCCCAATTCCCCAGTGCTGTCACTTTCAACTTCAATTCAGTCACCTGAAATGACCCTGAATAAGTTACAGCTGGGCTGGATTTGGAAGCATCCGGTTCATGGGCGAATCCTGGATGCCCAGGAAGGCAGTGGCCAGAATCCGTCCAGAACCCTCAGGTCGACATGAGGTGATGGTGCTGCCGGTGCCAGCTTGCCTGAGGCCACACCCTTAAAAACGAAGCTGGGCAGCTGGCCCACATCAGCCAGGATGTGGGGCAAAACACGAACCAAGGAAAACACATTTCCTGGCCAAAATGGGTCGATCTCTCTTGGCTGTGCCTGACCTTCGCGACGGACACAAAGGCCTCATGGTGCTGAACCAGCGGAAGCTGCAGAATGTGCATTTCCAACAGCTTAAAATACAGTGGAGCTAAGTATTGTCCTTTGGGGAAGTTTCTATTTTGAGTTTAGTTTATAGCAGTGGCAGGATGTGGAGGGTGGCTTGGCATCCTCCGAGTCTCTCGGGGTGGCGTGCCTTCCACGTTGGCGCTTTCAGATGTAGGCAGCCCTTCCCACAATCCCTCCAGCTGGGCACACTCTTATTGTGTGGCTCCTCGACAGCCTCAAGCAAAGGCATCTGGCAAACTGGCTTTGGAACTCAGCTCCCCAGAAGGAGCGCCCGGTTCCTCCGGACCCAGGGTTCCAAGGCTGAGAAGCGACCAGAGCCCTTGCCAGCCCTGGGGCAAGAGGCCGGAGGGGGCACTTACCAGTCAACCTGGTCCTTGGGCCAACCGCGGCCTCCCCAGCCACAGTAACATCCGTAACGAATGTAGGCCAGGGGAGTTCGCCCCGTGGTGCACTGGATCATCCCAGCCAGCTGGAGGATTCCTCTGCGGGGCCGGGAAGGGGCCTTGCCCAGAGGGTGTCCTGTAATGGGGGAGGAAGGAATGTGCGGCATCAGAGGGCAGCTCTGGAGGCGGGGGGGGGGGGGGGGGGGGGGGGCCTCCCCCCCCCCCCCCCCCCCCCCCCGCGCGACTCTGCCCCGGGGGGGGGGGGGGGGGGGGGGCTTCCGATAAAGCTGTTTAGGGCCCCCCAGCAATACACTTGGAGGGGGAGGGGGGAAGACATACATGAGGAGAGCCTCTCATTAAGGGAGGTGCCCTGAAGCAGGACCCACCCAACGCTCTGAGCCCCTCCCTCCCAGGAAGCCTCCCCTCCAGCAGCAGCAGCAGCAGCGTGGCGGGGGGGGGGGGGGGCCCTCGGGGCTGCCCCCGGGGGGTTTCCCAGGGGGGGGCCCCGGGGTTTAACGCGAGAGGGGGGGGCCCCCCCCCCCAGCTCCCTTGGGCACTAACAGGAGCCCCTGCCCCCAGCCTTCTCGCCTCTTCCCCTCTCCCTCTTGGCGTTGGGGCATCAGGTAAAAGGGCATAAAAGGGGGAGCTGCCCCCTCGGCACAAGTGGGGCAGGGCTGCTGGGGAAAAAGATTTGTCAATGCAGCTTTCGTGTTTGCTGTCTGGTCTACAAGGCTGACAGCAAGCTTGCGAATCCGCAGGAACCCCAATACCACAAATGACACCCGCCCATCACGGGGGCTGGTGGTTTCCAAGGCAATCCCCCCAAAGCAGCGGGGTCCCTTTCTCCGGCACCTCCATTTGGGCAGCTCCCCTTCATGCCGGTCTGGAAAGGTCCCTCCCCGCAATTAGGCGGGCGGGGGGGGGGGGTGACTTCTCCCTGCTGCTCCCAGCTTCTTCGGGGGCCGCCAGCAGGATCCGTGCAGGGAGAGGCAACTCAGATCTCCCCCACGGAGAGACAAAAGCGGGGAGACGCCGGTTCTAGTCTAGACACCGGCAGAAGTCCAGCTCTTTCCCCCCCTCTGGGCCCTAGGAAGGCGGCAACGGCAAGCCAAGGAAGCTGCACGCGGGACTGTCCAGGCAGTGGCCGGGAGTCAGGGCCGACTGGGAGCCCACCGATCCTCTCCTCCACCTGGTTGCCGAATGAACCCCCACTCTGGATTCACCCAACGAATGAGTTCACACCGCCCCAGGGCGGGCGGGACGGGGGGATCCCTTGGGGAAAGCGGCCTCGCCGCCAACTCACCGGTCCGCAGCAGCGCCAGCAGCAGCAGCAGCGCCAGCAGCAGCAGCGTCGGGGCCATCAGCTGCAATCCGGGGAGACGTCCGTCCCGTCCAGGCGCCGCCGCAGGAGCGTCTGCTTCTGCCGCCGCCACCCGCCGGCCTCCATCCCGTTCTCCGCCCACGCGGCCGGCCGCGCCCGCCCCGCACGCGCCACAGAGGCTGCTCAGGGCCCAGGTCGCCTGCCCTGGCTGGGGGGCGCAGCGCCTCTTCTTGGGGCTCAGCGGATGGCCGGAGGGAGGCGGGATTTGCTTCCCTTGGACGGCTGCCACCCCCCCGCCCCCCCCCCGTCTGAAAACGAAAGAGCTCAAGAACAGAGCGAGCCCAGGGACCTCCAGTTGGGCCTGAGCCGTGTCGGGCAGCCAGGGAGCAGCGAAAGGGGGGGGGGGGCGGGGAGGAAAGGCCAGCCCTTCTCCCAGCCCCGGGTCTTCCTAAACAGGTGTACTTACACCTAACTTAGACTAAGTTTGTCCCCCATTTCCAGTTTGATGGGTTAGTTCCAGATAAAAAGGGCCGAGAGCACTTTGTTCCTGACAAAAGCCCTCCTTGCCATTCAGCGCCTTCTGGCTTTCAAAGGTGTTTGTGGCTGAAGACTCCCAGCAGCGCAAGCAGGTCTTCCTGCTTTCTCTGGGTAAAAGGAAAAGTTGTGTGTGTTTGCAAATCATCGGCTGCAAAATGAATTCCTCGCTCCCTGCAGCTGGTCTCCCAAGAGTCACCTGCGCAGCCCATTGGGTGGGACAGACTGGCCTTCCTGCTGGCAGGTCCTGTAAATCTCAGCCTCTGCTTCTGTGTCTCTGGGAAGAGACTGCTCTTTTGGGTCACCTCGTCCTGTTTGACCAGCACCACCAAAGCCCGCTGGGCCGGTTGGGCAGTCAGGTGGGGCTGCTCATCCCCCTTCCTTCCTCCAGCCGGCCCTTGGCACCCCTCCCTCTAGATCCTCTTCCCAAGGTCCCCCTGCTCCCTGGGTGGGAGGAGGTCTGCTTGGAGCCAGCTAAAGCCTCGCCCTTTTGACTTGCTCTTTAACCTGATGGTGGATGATGCGCTTCTTTGCAAAGACAGGCAAGAAATACTAATGGCAGCCCTGTCGTGAGCGGGGCAGGGTGTCCTCCTCCCTCTCTGCCCCCTCCCCCCCCCTGCAATGGAAGTCACATTTCCAGGCACACAACCAAGACTCCTCCAGGAGACGGAGCATCAACAGGCACCCTGAGACTTTATCAAGGTTTTTTTCCTTCCTACCAATAAATCCATTCTTCTGTATTTCCCAGAGGCGGCACCATGAACATCCAGCTAATTGCAGTTTTGGGCAGGAGGCCTGCCCTGTACTTTCTGGAAACATGCCCTCTTGCATAAGTTGCCTGCACGCAAACTGGCTCTAAAGTAGAGCCAGTAAACAGAATCTGTTCTACAATATTTGTCCAGTTGGCACCACACCAAGGTGGCAGCAGCAGCAGCAGCAGCAGCACTCAGTATATCAGGAGGTTCCGTTTGCTGCATTCCAGACCCTATTAATTGTGTTCTCACAGCTGCAGGAATCGGCATGAATGCAAACAGCCATCCTGGCAGCTCTGGCTGAATATATGTCCATTGCAGGTTGTGTGTGTGTGTGTGTGTGTGTGATTATCCCTCTTCCTATACAGAGGCCCAAAAGACGCCGTGGTCTCAGGACCGCTCCCATTAATCTGAGCCCGAGGTGAAATTCCGCATAGCTGTTTCTTGCTGAGATGTTGCCATTCGGGATTCAAGGACCTTGCAAAAATCTGGAGTATCTGAACAGCACAGTAAAAGCTTAGAGATGCATCACCCTGCCAGCTCACACTCCAGATGCAATCTAGTAAAACCCCTTTCCACATGTGTGCCCCAGCCGAAACGGGATGTGCCCTCTGGGTCTCAGCTTGGAGACGCTGACATATCTGGTGATCCTGTAATCCCCTCCAACAGTACCTGTGCAAAGTGGGTTGATATTAATTTATTTTAAAGAGACTGACCATGACTGACCATCTCAAAAACAGAACTCTGGACAGCTCACAATAAAAATCCCAAACTATAAAATCGTAAAACACAACCCAAACCTGGTGCCTCCTTCTGTCTCCCAGGGATGCCCCCCAGCGCCTGGGGAAAAGCCCATCTTGGTGGCCACCCGGAAGGTGGGGAAGGGGGGAGCAGGGGGGGGAGTTGCCAGTGCAACAGGTGCCACTGATGAACAGGAAGCTATGCACTTAGCAACAGATCTTCCAGTTTTAACGATTACAAAAACTGGTGCAAGTTTCATTGCCACAGTCACATGCATAAACGCAATTAACAAATCATTCAGACCGGATACATTTTGCAATTATATATTTGGTTATCATTAATATATTAGTCATTGCTTCCAAAATGATTTTGGGTGTCTCATTTAAATATAATCACCGAATTAATAACTCCGTTGATTTACCAAGAAGACAACCTATAATTAACTACATCATTTGAACTTTCGCCATTTATCCAGAAGATATTCAATAAAAGGCTGCTCTGACTACTTCGTGTACCAACCCTTCCGATACTCTATGCAAAAGACGGTTTCTCATGTTGACCTCCTTTCCTGTGGAAACCCAGTTTGCTGTAAAGGATTCCAGAATGATGTCAAATTCCCAGAAGGTGCTCACATCAGTCATGTGGCATTGGGTCTTTCAAGGAGCTTCCGTGCTGCTACTGTTGACTGGCCATGTTTCGATGGGCAACTGCAAGGGGGTGCATGGGAACACATTGAAAAATAATTTCCAATACCTATCAGGATTCAGAACAGATGAGTACAATCTAGATAGGATCTTAAGGCAACCCAGATCAACTGGATCAGAGGCTCCTTCCTTTTGGCTTCCATCTCTGGCAGCCCGCCCAGGGGAGCCCCCAGCAGCCCCTCAGCCTTGGAGAGCATCTCCAGAGTGGTCAACACTTTCAATAGGGGTTCGGCCAGTGCCCAAACTGGCCGCTGCCTGGGCTTACAGGGCACCCTCTCAGGCCTCTGCTCTGGTATCACTTGCCTTGCACGGGGCAGCTGCTTTTCGGACCCTTTGCTGGCTCTGCTGGCTGCCTCCCTCCAAGTCTCCAAGCAGAAGCAGAATGTGGCCTTTCAGAGAAGTTTTCGGGGGGGACGGGGGGGGGAAGAGATTTGGGGCTGGGTGAAGGAAAACAGGCCAATCGGAGAAGTATCCCCTCCTTTCCGAACCAGAGGAGTGCCAGCAACCTGCAAACATCCCGCCCCCCCCAAGCACAGAAACGTCACTGGTTCCTTGGCTTCCCCTCGTTTGGGCCCAGCCGATGCTGGGAGCACCAGCGCATGAGACACGTGGGAGAGCAAGCAGGTGAGCTGCCCCACCCCCCCTCTGCCTCCCTGGGTTTTGGAAGGCAACAAGTACAGGATTACTGGAGCCACTGAAATAAGAACCATTTAGTTGCAGGGATGATGGGGGGTTTTCCGGACTCACCCCCGTTGGGAAAGCAAGGGGGCGCAGCCAGCATCCCAGCAGATCCCGGCCTCCTGACAGTCCCTCATTCCCAGCCCTGCGGACCTGCTGGGGGCCTGCTTTGGTGCTCTGTCCTTTGCCCTTTGTGAACTGGGTGGGGGCTCTGCCTCAGAAAATTCAGAGACCCCCTAGGAGAAGCAGCACCAGCAGGGCAGTTCGGGAGGGCTGGTCACTTTACCTGAAGCCTCACTGCAAGCAGGAAGCAGCTGGTCCTTCCCAGAAACGACCCTGGCTCCCTCGCCCTGCGCAATGGCAGGATTAGCACAGCGGGTTCAGAAAGAGCAGCAGCACCCCGGTGGGCATCACCTTGGCAATGATGGTGTCATTGAGGGCGTAAGCGCCCATGGACAGCTTGCCCAGCACATCGTAGAGCCTATAGCCTGCTCTGCAGCCTGAAATTCCCAGGAGGCCGGGAGTGGTAGCAAATGAGCGTGGGGGCCCATCAGTTCTGTTGTTCAGGATTGCGACCGCATACTGGCCATTGGCCAGGGGCCTCTTCCAGACTTCAAAGTTCTGCTTCTGTCCGAGAGACAAGCGAGGGGCACAGGAAGGCTTCTTGTTCACCCCGACTTGCTCAGAGATTCACAAGCCCACCATGGCTCCTGCGCCCAGAGAACGGAGCCGTTTCCCCGGGCACAAGGCAGCCCTGCTCTGGGGAAGGGGTTCTCCCACACACACCCTGGCAAGGAGTCTGCCCTGAACGCCCCTCGGGTCCTGGTTAATGTAGATCAGGAGCGGGTTCTGCAGCGTGTCCTTCGCCTCCTCCGAGATGTTCCTCAGGTTGCAGGAGATGAAGAAGGGGGCCGCCAGGACCGCCCACAGCGCCGCCTGCACCTTCGACTGCTCGTGGCTCAGGCCTAAGTCGCTGATGATCAGCTGGAAGGAGACAGGATGCCAGGTGGCCTGACCCAACCCCTCAGGAAGGGAAAGCAAAGGAAGCCCACGTGGGGATCCTGCAGACCCAGAAAGTGGAGCTGCTTCAGAGCTGCAGAGTCAGGCACTGAAAGCAGAATCTCTAGGCCTGCATTTCGCCCTCACCTCCCCCGGGTGCCCCAGGAGTGGCCGTCCTAGCTCGACCTCTTCCCTGGGCTCAGGGCTGGGCAGGAGGTAAGGAAGAGGGTCTCACCATGTCAGGATCATTCCACCTTCCGGGCCCCGAGGCCGGCTGCAGGATATCCTGGTGGTCTCCGTACCACTCAATGATGTGGAAGAGGCTGTCCCAAGTATCTTCGATGTCGGCGTAATTCCTCCAGAAGTTACAAATCTGGCCCAGTAAGGTGTAATTCACCTGAATTGAAACAAGCAGATTTAGGCTTCTGAAATGAAAGGTAGGCCTGCCATGGAGAAGCCATGAGAATCGCTGCTCTCTTCAGCGCGGCTCAGTAGACCAAAGGAAACGCGGAGGAATGGCCGCCACCACGAATGGGCTGGGATCTCAGACGGGAGGCAGATGTGCCATTTTATGCTCTCAGGAAGGGTGGGGGCAGGAGACCTCAAACAGCCTGTCCAAAACCTGGGAGAGGGATTGGCACCTACTGTCCCCACCCCACCCGCCATCCTTGCCACACACTTTGGGGTCCTTAACAAACCGCAGCTAAAGAGGCAGCCTTGAAAGGAACCAGGCCCGTAAGGGGGCCCTGCTGCGAAAAGGCGGGAGTCTGGGTCTGGGATTACCTTGGGCGGAAGGCCCCCTTCGTAAGCCGGCCAACTGCAAGACAAGGCAATGGGCCGCCCAGTCTGGTTCAGCGCTCTGCTCATTTTGGGGTAACCTGAAAAACAGCCAGCGAGGATGTCAACTGGGCAGGCAGAGGCTGCCTGAGTTACCTCATAGTTCTCCCTCCACCCTGGGGGTTCCCAGAAGCCATTGGCCTCCACCGCTTGCATGGGAGGGGCAACCTGGCAGCACCGTCCTGCCCTTGGCATGAATGAAGCCAGTGGACGTCGAGAAGCCCAACTCAACCGGCCTCCCTCAAAAGACGAAGCCTCATGTTCTGGCTTTCATCAGAAGCAAAGCCACCCTGAAGGTGAACACACGCACACACACAGAGACAGACGGTTGCCATACTGAGCAGCAACAGCCTCATGAAAACTCTGCAGCCATGAAGCGTTGGCAGCGTTTAGAATGACCTGGTTTGCTCTTTCCCAGCTGACCCCCAGACCCCTCCCCCCCCGTGCCCCGTGTGCTCCCCCAGGTGCTCTTCTGCCACGGGGGAGGGCACCTATAGCCTTGAAGGAGGAGTCCGAGAAGCAGCCGTCCAGCTTTAGCATGTCGACCTCCCACTCTGCAAAGGTGTTTGCATCCGTCTCCACCGTCTCCAGGGTTGTGCCTGGGTAACCTGCACAGGTGGCATTGCCCAAGTCGCTGTAGATGCCAAATTTCAAGCCTTTGGAATGAACCTGAGCAGGAGGAGGAAAGAGGGGCTGAGGGGCCCAGCTGGCAGCCGGAGCCGGGCCAGGTCACTGCATTGCGAGACCCACCCTGGGCACTGGGTTCAAGAGGCCGAGCTTTTCTACACATGTGCAGCCTCCTTTGATCATTGATGGATCCTAAAACCGCACAGACGCTTGGTGCTCCCTAGAGGGGGGGCTTGAAGCTACACCTCAGCACAGGAGGCGGCTTCTCACCCGCCCGAGGGCTTTTGGCCACGGGGGCCGTTTCAGGACAGGCCTCCCCTGCACTCACATAGTCAGCCAGGGCTTTCATCCCGCTGGGGAAGCGCTGCGGGTCTGCCTGGAGCCTCCCGTGGGCGTCCCGCTTGCCCGCTGCCCAGCAGTCATCCAGGGTGACGTACTCGTAGCCCAGCTTCTTCCACCCGTCGGCAGCCAGCCGGTCGGCCATGGCCCTGATCAGGTGCTCACTGGTGGCACAGGAAAGGCGGCCTTGGTCTCCTCCAGGAGGCCGGGCCGGGGATCTCTTCCCTGGGCAAACCCCCCTCCAGGCCCCCGAGGGCGACGCCTCCCACACCTGATGCAGTTCTCGGGGTCCTTCCCGCAGTCCGTGTTGCACTTGAAGCGGCCCCAGGGCTCCCAGCCCATCGGGGGCGTCCTCAGCAGCCCGTTGTCCAGCGGGGAGGCGCGCGGGGCCAGGCCCAGCAAGACCCCCAGCGAGACGGGCAGCAGCGGCAGAGTCAGCCCCACAAAGGCGCGGCGGCCGGGCATTTTCCAGCTCTGCTGCGGGGCTTTGGCAGCGACACGTGTCTTCCCCGGGGTCGTCAGAACAGGCGCCACTCTCCTCCGGCCGCCTTTCGCGCCGGGCCCGCCCGCGGGATCAGAATTTGGCTCCCGGCCGAGTCCCCTGCCCAGCTGGCGGGCTTCCCCGAAGGCCCATTGCGTCACAGGGAGACCCTCTGTGACGTCGCGACTTCGAACTTCGCCTCCACTAAGCACCGCCCACGGAGGGGCTACTGTTCACCTCGCGGAAAGGCGCGCGCAGGCGCATATCGCCAACCCTCTAGCGGAGGGGCAAGTCTGTGGCCAGGGCAGGTGTTCGGGTCACACACATACATACACACACGCACACACACACACACCCCGCAAGCTGTTCCACGCCTCCCTCGCTTGTTAGCGTCCGGACTGCAAACGTATAGGGAGGGGGAGGCAATTTCGGAGAGGCACACCTCCTGTTTAGCCGCCCTCCTTGCAGAGTTGAGGAACATCCGGTTACCCTTTCAAGGGGCTCGGACAGTGCAGGACCCAGGATCGAAAGTATTGGCCTATCATAAGCGCCCACCGATGCAAAGTAACCAATGGGCAGGGAGCAGCTTTTCGTCCAGACCAATGGGAACGAGAGGGAGAACAATCTCGGCCCTGCTCTTTGGCCGAGTCGTCCGTGGCCCCGCCCCCGAAGCGACTGCCCGTTTCGACCGCGGTTTCACGTTGCGGCGCCTCCAGGTGGCCTCCGGTCTAGAGGGGGCGCTCTAACTCGTGTGGCCAGAGGTCTAGGCCGGAAGGGGACGCCGGCGAGGCGGAAGCAGCGGGGGGGGGGGGGGAGAGAGAGAGAGAGAGAGAGAGAGGGGCAGAGGGCCTGGCTCGCGGCGACGTTCCTCGATAGCTGCCGCCGACTCCGCGACTCGGCCCCGGCCTGAGGGAGTCAGAGAGGCCGCAGGCAGAGCAGACGCGACAACGGAGGTGAGCTCGCGCGGGGCCGCCCAGCTCCTCCCGCGGCGGGCAAGGGCCCCGCGCTCCCCCGGAGGGGAACGGCCGCTTCCCCCGCGCCGACCCCTGCAGCAGAGCCGCGCGCGGGAGACCCCGGCCGGGAGGTAGAAGGCGTGCTGGGCGGCCGGGCGAGCGGAAGGGGAGGCGGCCCCGCGGCTTCTCCGGCCCGACGGCGCCTCTGCCTCTACTGCCTGCCCGAGGCCGGCGCTCGGGAGGCCTTTCTGGCTGAGGGGAAGGAGATTCCGGCCGCCGCGGGGTCCTGTTGCCGCTTTGACCCTCGGCCTCCCCCGAGGGAAGCCCCTGCCAGCCCCAGGAGGGGCTTTCCCGCCACCCCAGCCCGGCGCCGCCACGTTTGCGCCTTGTGAGCCCGGAGCGATTCTGACCCCTGGTGCTGTAGAGCGCGAGTCCCCTTCCTCGCTCGGCTGCGTCGGTCGCCATCCTGTGCCCGAGCGGGAGCTTGTCCCGCGGGAGGCTGGCAGGGGAAACGGGCTCCGCTTCTGCTCCCGGCTGCTCTTGGGAGGCAAGGGGCGCGGGGGGGCGTTGGCAGAGCCTCCCGGCTGCCTGGGTGACCGAGACCCAGACCCGAGGCGAAGGGGGGGCGGGGGCGGGGGGACAACCGTTTCGGGGATGCCTTTCAGAGGTTCGCCGTTCCTTCTTTGCTGGTAGTCCTTGACTTACGACCACAGTTGAGCCCCAAATTTCTGTTGCCAAGGAAGACTGTTGTTAAAATGAATTCTGCCCTATTTTGTGACCTTTCTTGCCACATTTGTTAAGCAGTTAGTAACATGGTTGTTTTTTGTGAATTTGGCTTCCCCGTTGATTTTGCTTATCAGAAGGTTGCAAAATGGGATCACATTCAGAAATGAAAGCCAGCTGACAAACGTCTGAATTTTGATCATGGAGATGCCGCATAAGGTCATAAGTGTGAGACAGTCATAACTCACATTTTTCAATGCTATTGTAACTTCAAACAGTCACTAAATGAACTGTTACACGTCAAGGACTCTCTGTGCCTTGTTCTTTGCTTTGGTTTTCCTTTTTGTTTTTGGCGCTGCTGTTCTTTGTTAACATGGATTAGATGTAGAAAGCGACTCACAATTAATAGTGAGCCTCTTAATCCTACTTTAGAATATGTTTTCTTAAAATATGTTGAGGTAGACCAGTTGTCTGGAATGTTTCGGAAATATTTGAAATGGTTAGCTTCAGTAAACTCAAATCAAAAGTCCTGCGTTACTTGAAGTATTTTGTTTTTCTCCCCTAGAGGGTGGGACTTATCTTGAAAATTTATTTAAAATATGGCTGTATTTATTTGCACTTACTTTTACTGTAATAGTTTAGGATTTATGTTGTAGTATTTAGAATGATTAACTTCTAGCTAAAACAGTGAAAAATTGTATAACATTGTGCGTCATATTTTTTGTGAACTAGATTTGATTTTCACAGAGAATGAAAGGGTTTATTGCTGTTCGCTGGATTGGTTTAAATATATTACAACAACCTTGCTGGGTGGATATCTTAGGGGAATTGTAATCTCAAGTATTGGGAAAAAAACCTAGCAAAAGTGCATTGTAGCTTTCCCCCCTTGGAATTATATGTTGGTTTTGTTTTGTTTTTAAAATGAGATTTCAAAAGTTATTATATTTATATACATCCCAGGCTCAGAGGGATATGATAGAACAGAGGCAGTATTTATTGCCTAATTTATTTTCTTGGTCTAGATTAACAGAGCTAATTAACGTATGGATCAATTCAGGTGGAAACAACTCTAAACATTGTTTATCAATATAGTTAATATAAACAAACTTGTTTTGTAAACATGGATTTATTTTATAAGAGTTGATGTTGAATAATTTAGGCTGATGTTGGAGCTGATTATTTCCATAACTTCTCACAAATTGTTTTGCAAACCAGCAACAGGCTATTACTTTTGTTTCAGAAGCTGCGTATTGAAGACGAGGGTGCTCATGATAACATGTCCAGTGTTTCAGTGGACAGGAGCATCAGGCTACAGGACATTAAGAAAGGGCTGCAGTTTATACAGTAAGTACTTTGAGTAACTAGACATCTGTGTCTGAGAACTGTTGAGCCACTGCTTAAAACATGATGCAACATATTTTCTTCTTACATACATTGTAAGATATATAAGTTTATATTAAAGATCACCTAGCTTTGCTGTTACAAAATAAAACACAGGCAAACAAATTATCTTAGTGCATTGTCTCTCATATGTTGTGTTAAGTAGAACTCTTTAATTTGCATTTGATTCCATCTTTATTTTGGAATATCTGCTATACATGGAACTGCACCTTCTGCCCTGTTAGCAATATTATGCTCCAATCATATTTTCTTATTGGTGTTTTTGGAGATAATCTGGATTGCAAAATTAATTCTTGTGTGAAGTGTGTAGCACAGGTACAAGCCATGATCGAGAATTTCAGTGGCAAGTGCCTTGGGTGTGTAAGATCCTTGAATGTGACTTTGATACTCTTTATCTTTATGATTTCTAGATCTACTCTACCCTACCCAGGGTCTCAAGAACAATATGAGGTAACTGATGTTCCTTTCTGAACTTCTTTACCTGAGGCATTGTGGTCTCAACAGTGGGTAGAAACTTCTAGAATCTTGGCTGTTGTAGGATGTGATGATTTCTCTTACCTTATTGACCCACATCAGCCATGTCTAATTAGTGCTTGGTTGTTAGCAGCCATTGGGTAGAAGTGGCGGAAGGACAGTAGGTTTCAAGATTTTTTTACCACATGTTGTTAGATGGAACATTACTCCAAACTGATCTAAAGCTTTGCTATACGCTGCTACCTGGAGTCCCTCCAGAACAAATTATTGATGATAGCAAAGCGCCCCTTGTCAAGCTGCAGAACAACCTGTGTGACTTAACAGAGGATTTATGTTTTCAGATCTTCATACGAGAACTTGTTAAAAACCTGTTTAATGAAGGAAACGATGCATACCGAGAAGGTGATTGGGAAGGGTCACTGAACCATTATTCTGAGGCTTTGAACATAGCCGATTATGCCAATTCTGAAGGAATCCACATTTCTGATGAGATATTAGAGAAACTGCATGTTAATCGTATAGCCTGTTACTCCAAGAAGGTAGGTGCTTCCTAAAAAAAGCTCATGGCTTATCAAGAACTAGGTTTCCATTTTGTAACCCTGGTGGGTGTGATGGAATCAGCATTTTATCAGCCCAGGAAGTTAACAGTATAGTACTAAAAACAAACACTATGATTGTTAACACAAATGTAGCAAAAATACAACAGTTTCATCACCTTAAAATGGCAGCAATAATAGCAGCCTTGGCAATGGGCATTCTGAGATCCTAAGAGCTTAAAAAGACCTGGCCTGATGTACATTTTTTGTTTGTGTGTGCGGCATGTATTGTCTTGGAATATGCTTGCAGCCTGAGATTCAAATCGCAAAATGCTTGACACTGTTCGTCCTTCATTCTTACAGGGGTCGCATGACAGAGTTCTAGAAGAATGTGGGATAGTTTTAAAATTGAATGAAAATAATTTCAGAGCCCTTTACCGGAGATCCAAAGCTTTAAAAGAACTGGGAAGATATAAAGAGGCTTACGATGCTGTGGCAAAATGCTCTCTCGCAGTGCCCCAGGTACGCATGTCACATCAGCTAGAGGGCGGGGGTGGGGCATTAATAGAGTTTGCCTGCATGTAATTTCAGAACAGCAAGAGAGTAGAAAATTCCTCTAAAGTAAAAAGATGCTGGAGAAGCTTGACTCCATTCCTATCTTCTTTGGGCTAGCAATCCCATGGCCCGGGAGGGAGGGAATGACTATATGTTGTTGTATTATTTTACTGAAATGTTGCATGTGGCCTAGAGTCATAGCTGACTGAAGTGATAAATGATGCATAAATGGATGCATAAATGTACATCATTACCTTGCCTGGACCCACTGCAAGAATTATTTAGGTTTACTGGCACCCCACTCCAGTGGCCTCCAGAAGCCTCTTGATATTCAGTCCTGATTCAGGATGAGTCCCTACAGAACCCAGATCAGATGCAGGTGGCATTGATGTACCTGATGCAGTTGTGTGACATTTCTGACAAAACTTTTGTTGCTAATGTGCATTGCATCCTGCTTTTATTTTAATTTCTAGGATGAAAATGTGATAAAATTAACCCAAGAACTTGCTCAGAAGCTTGGACTGAAAATAAGAAAAGCCTACGTTAGGGCAAAAGTAAGTGAAAATAGTTGTGTGCTTCTGTTCTGAAGTTTTTCCTAATGCGTTTGTTACTTACAATGATATGCTCACTTGCAGCCTTCCCCCAACGCTGTTTCTGGAGAAGTAGCAA